ACTTGCAACACAGTTGACAGGACAGGTGAACAGGAGGAACCTTTTTAATCTCATTGTTTCCGTAGGGCAGCCCTTCTATCAGGATCAGCATCATGCTGAGCCCTGTACTGGTGCTGCTTCTCAGCAGCAGAGAAACCCATCTTCCTAAAACACAAATCATTATGTTTGTCTCTAAATATAAACATAAAATGTCAACTGTCACTGTCAACTGTGTTACAGCTGATGAGTAACACAGTTGACAGGTAACACAGTTGACATTTTGGCCATTTTTGGGCCTTTTGCTAACTGCAGACCTCAGAACTATCCCTGTAAGACCCTAATCAACTCCTGTTTTATATACTTTATCTACATTTTTGCAAAGCAAGTTTCCATTAATATGTTGACAGGTAACACAGTTGACAATCAATTAATCTGTTCTATGTGTTCGCAATGATATTGATAAAATATTGAAGAGGAGAAGTAAAGACTTACCACACTGTGTTTTAAATTTCCCTTCAAAAAGGATTTGACATCAAATGATGGACACACACAAAGTGGATAATTTAATGTGTATGAATGAGCAAAATGGATTTTTAAACAACTTTCTCATATTTTAGTAATTTCCTCTATCAAATATTGACAAAAATTTTGTACAAAAATATTTAATTTAGTGCTAATCTGAAGAGCTAAACCTGACATTGAGAAAATCAGACAGCATAAAGCCAACAAATTCCAGTATAATACATTCATTTTTTGCAAAAAAAAAAGAAAAAAGAAAAAAGATATGATTTGATACATCCCTGCAGTACTGCCAAATGAATCACCATGTCCCTTTACTGCACCTGTACTTTGAGGGCCATAGCAATTTACGCAAGGATTTCCGTCTATCTGGCTAAACCATTGGACACCTCATCCAGATCATCCGCTCTCCATTTTACCACGGCTTGGGTCAGGAACTGGAGGTGCTGGTCTTTTTGTTTTGGCTTGCCAGTGCCACTTCCTGCTGTGTCGTCTCTCAGGCCTTCAGCATTCCCCGCTCCATGGTCCATGACATTGTCCACAGGGTCACAGACAAAATCGTAAAGTTAAAAATAGGGTCATCTTCTTCCCAGCACCTGATGACCTACCAACAATTGGCTCTGGCTTTAGGGATGCTGCTGGATCTGCTGCATTTGACAAGGTCATGGGCAGCATTGATGGCTGCCAAATGCGCATAAAGCCTCCCAGTCTGGATGCTGCCTGTTATTCAAACAGAAAACTGTTTTATTCTGTACAAATGCAAGCTGTATGTGACCATCAGTGTTGCTCCCTGGACATCTCTGTGGGCTACCCTGGCTCGGTCCATGACAGCAGGGTGTTATAAAAAACAGCCCTCTTTTCACCCAGAGCCTCTACCCACCTGAAGGCTTTTGTATTTTGGGGGACAGTGCATACCCCTGCATATCCCAGCCCATTGCCCTCATGACGCCTTACAGGGAACCTGTCAGGGGTGCAGCAGCTGCTCGTTTTATCTGCCACCATGCACGGGCATGCTCTGTGATCAAGAGGGTATTTGGCATAATGAAAACTCATTGGATATCAATCTTTTTCAAGGCCCTGGAGGTTAACCCTACCTTTGTAGTGAAGGTAATTGCCTGTTGTGCCACTCTGCACAACTTCTGCCTTCAAAATGGGGACACAGTTGACCCAGAGGAGGAGGCCCTTCAGCCAGACTTGCAGTGCGGGGAACGCCTGAGGGAAAGAATGGCTGCTGATCTTTCAACTCCACTGCACGTCACCCTGCTCTTAGAGAACATAATTATTAAAGAAAAAAAAAACACTTTAATGTGCCATTTGAATGTGTATAGTTATGATTTATATTGTATAGTCAACATTTAAATCATTTTTGTTACCATAATCAGTTCATATTTAAAATCATCCTCATTGTTAGCTTCCATTGTTATTGATGTTTGTCAAATTAGTTCATAGTAGTAGATTGTAGGGTTATCTTTATCCAGAATAGGCTTGTCGATATGTACAGTTATATCTTTATATGTGACATGTAGATTTATATAATAATCTAGCTGTTTATTGTGGTATCTGTAGTACAGCATCAACACACAAGGCCGAGGTATTTTCAAAGTTACATGAACTAATCAAAGTATGGATTGTAGACACTGGGTCGTCTGGCTGTTGAGTGCTTGCAGAGCATAGGTCACAGTTTACAGGTCACAATTCCAGACTAGATAAACAAAAACAACAAACAAACAGATGATAACGAAAAGATAGCTGGGGAACAAAGAGAGGATGACCCTATATAACAGGAGCACAAACTCTGGTTAGCAAGAGCTGGACATCATTGGCAGTCCTCTCCCAGCATCCGTGGTGCTGTTCTGATACTGGTGTTGTCTTTATAATAAACTCCTCTTATACAAGCAAGCCAGTGTCACGAAGCCTCGTTCTGCATCTACACATCACGGACAGACCAGATAAAACAGTATAAATGTTAGAAAAAACTGTGTTAATTTGTAGAATTAGCCCATTTCTAGTCACAGACTCTCGAGACTCCGCCTCCGAGAGTGAGACTGAGAGAATGGTCAGGCAGCAGGTCAATCTGACATAAATCTAGAGAATCACATATATTTTTTTACATTTAAGTTCCTGAACTTGTGTGTAAGTGAGTTCACCACCTTATGAGCATGAAATCAGCAATGGCAAGAATCATTTGTGGCAGAAAATAGTTCAAACCCAAGCTCCAGTGCTTCTGCCTGGCCTCGGCTGTAGTGGCAGCCCAGCAGACACCAGGATAGGCCCAAGCTTTGGTAAGCTGCACTAGGCCGAGGACCAGGCCTAATCTACCATCAGGCAGCAGCCAGCCCTCTAGTCACTGGGCCGAGTGGCAAGCAGCGAGGGAAGATGCCTCAGTGTTGGGTCTAAAACCTGCCCAAATACCTGATAACATATAAAGAAGAGAAAGACAATGGTATATACTCGAGGAGAATGGACAGAGATAGCATCAGGTACAATCTCGAAACCACTCTGAAAGTGGTTTCTGTCCCGTCTCTTTTATTTAGGGTTGTCCCTGGTTACACAATGTTTCTAAAGGATGGCGGAAAAATATGTGCAGCACTCTCATAAAACAGAATAATGAACAACTGAGAATATGTGAGGGTCAAGGCGACATTGTTGCATGAAACGAGCTCCTTCTGATAGGAGCAGATCCTCCTCATTACTTCCCACGATTCACAGTGGAGGATAAATCTCACACACACACACACACACACCTGCTGATAGGAGAAACAAGGTCACAGAGAAGTTAAGAAACATTCATGTGCTAGGTAATAAGGCTATTGGAGAGAGAAGTTTTATACTGTCTTGAGCATTATGTCTAGCACAAACTGAACAAATCAAATCAAACAAAAAATGTTTTTTTAATAATTGCGAGACATGCCAAGGCCCATGACTCGCTATTACTACCTCTAAAGCTCTGTTTGCTGATCTGACAAAAATCTTTTGTTTGAAAAACCTAATCTGTGGTAGTTTATGTCTAAGAACTGTTTTCTTTGCACCGGAGTCACACAAAAAGGTTACAGGTAAACCATTAACTATATCTGTGGTTTTGTGTCTGCATGATGTATTCCTTCTCCAACAAACTGTTGCAGTTCCACTGTCGAAGGGACAGATACAGGAAATCTGTCCTGCCACAAGCTATTGCACTGTTAAATAACTCACATATGTCAGACAGGGACTCACACCTGTCTGCTTTATAGTACTTTTTTAAAAACTCCTACCACATCATATTACCGAGCACCTTAAATTGTCTGTATTTCTATCATCCCATCTGTAATATTTTGCATTTCATATTTATTACTCATTTCATATTTATTACTAATTTCAATAGCCCACATTCTTCATTTCTCACTTTTATCTCTTAGGATGTTTAGTATATTTAGTCTGTATTTCTTGTATATACTTAGTATTTTTAGTATTTTTAGTCTGCATTGTACTTTTTCTTAAATTTAATTTTATTTTGTATTTTCCTTTTGCTGCTGTAACAAGATAATTTCCCAGTTTGGGATCAATAAAGTCTATCTATCTATCTATCTATCTATCTATCTATCTATCTATCTATCTATCTATCTATCTATCAAAAAATATATACAGTATATATTTATCACCTCCAAGTTTAGCACTTCTTCCTCCTCTGTTTCTTCTCTGTTCACACTTTCCCTTCATTTCTGTCAAATAACACTTGCTGTCTCTCCCTCTTCTAGTCATGTTTGATACTTTTTTCTACAGCTCTTCACCTAGTGACCAAAAGCTCTGCAATTCTCTGATGTTGTGGTTCATGACCTTGGTCAGGGTACTATTCTTCACCTCTTTGCTCTTGTGATTCATAATCTTTGTTAAAACTTCCACTTCCTCTATCGCCTTCTCTATTGAAATTCCTGCCTCTGAACATGCTTCTTCCTTGTTCTCTCTGTCATAGTCATCAAATGGTTTATGATCTCTCCTATTGTCCCATAGTCGTCCTATTTATCTCATATAGTATGAAATTCATTGTCACATTTAGAGTTACTCTTACATTAAATGGTATTATAGGGAGGGCTTTAATTCCAAATTAGCTTTGGTGTTCTCTGCACTTTACTATGGTTACTTCTTTAAGTTCCAAAAAGGTATAATACCAATCAGTTGGTTCAAATGTTTAACAGGGATGCCAGCTGAGGTCAGAAAACCTCTTCTTCTCCAGCGACACGTCTACATGTACAACATACACTTCATAGACTGTAACAGTTTAGTCACAGTTTTGTCTTTTGATAGCTACATGCTTCTGCATAGGGAGGGATTCTTTGGCTGCTGTGTCTCTGGAGGAGTCAAGGTCTTAACTGGCATTTGATGTATCATTTTATCATTTGTGCAGAGAACAGAGACTGTAGCGAGAAGGAAAGAAGCAGAGCAAGAAGAACAAGGGTGATGAACAAGCCAGCGACTTCGAGGGAGAAGCCTCCTCTCCTGCTGAAGAGGAGGTTGAGCTGGTCACCATGGCCTCTGTCAGAAAGATGATCAACCAAATGCTGACACAACAGAAAGCCCACTACCTGGAGATGCTGGACAGACAAACTGACACCTTTAATAGGTTTGTCAAAGTGATTCTGGATTCCACCAACGAGCGTCTTGACTCCATGAACAGGAATATACAGGAGATCAAGGACAGTATTCATTACACCCAGCGAGAGGTAGATGAGATTAAAGCTACTGTGTCCAAATTCTCTGGTGATCCCAACACTCTGGAAAATAATATGAAAATCCTCTGTGACAGCCTTGTCACGCTAGACAGTAAGGCTGACTATCTCGAAAGTCAGTCAAAAAGAAATAATCTAATCTTCGAAGGGATTGAGGAATCGGCACAGGAGAGCTGGGCGGATACTGAAGGTAAAGTCCGCACTTTAATCTCTGAAAAATTGAAGTTGGATGCCAGAGCAATGCCTATTGAAAGGGCTCACCGCAGTGGAAAGCCAGAAAACAGAGCTGACAACAAGCATCCTATTATTGTTAAATTCCTAAACTACAAGGACAAGGAGCTCATCCTGAAGAGGAGAAAGGAACTGAAGAAGACTGCTCCTGGGGTTTACATCAACGAGGACTTTTCTGAGGCTGTAAGGCAGAAGAGACGAGATCTTATGCCTAAACTAAGGGAGGCATGGAACAGAGGGGACATTGCCTACTTAAGATATGATCCTGCACAATGAGGTGCAGGTGCCTTGCCCCTTGCCATGCTCCAGTGCAGCAGGAAGAGAAAGAGATAGAGCACACAGACAACTAAAACACAAGGAAACAGCCCTGGATCATGACAACAGGTTTATTCAAGCCCTGAGGAGCACTACGGCCCATAGAAGAGGTACTGTGTTACTCCAAATACAAGGTTAACGTATCCTGCTGTATATCCTGTCCAATAGTTTCCATTAAGTTGTGTATTTATTACACCAAGTTATCACATGAAGTCAAACATCCAACTTAGCCATGATAAAAGAAATCTTTTCTTTTGTTTATCTTGCGTCCGTCGGATCTAGACCGTACAGTTGTATAAAGTTAAATATTTTCAGATTTAACTTGTTGTACCACACTCGTCCACCTAGCCTTCTCCTTTATTTATTTAAAACTGTTTATAATGTGAATATTAAAGTTGTGTTAGATCATAGGAGGATAGTTGCTTGTGCCCTTTTCAATCAATGTTTTCAGTAGCAATCGCAATGTGTTTCAGACACCTTCAAAGCTATTGAGCAGCTGCTGACAGCCACAAAGATGGGCAGTGAAGTAAGTAAGGAGAAATTCTAACATAACTGCCTGCTTGTGACAAATGTTTGTGCTAACTACACCATCTGCTCTCTTTCTGTGTAAAGTAGCTGTTCAGAAAGCTTAAGTGGAAGGTTGCCATGGATCCCTCAGAAGCTGTCTATATCCAGACTCTTCTCCCCCACTTCTTCACCATGAATACTGTCCTCTGATTCACAGGAGCATGTCTTCCTAGACGTCTCCCTTTCTAGTTTTCTAATGCCCTCTCCCTTTTCTTCCTCTGACATTGAGTTGCAACTCTTGCCAGTTTACACAGTATAAGGGCACCAGGGTCAGCGCCTGGTAGCCAGCATCTGTCACACGCACGCACGCACATCTTAGCATATGGGCAGTGTGATATCAACAGAGCATTGTCCTTCAGGCCAATCTCACATATCACAGGGGAGCTAAAGAGGAGATCAAAAGCACAGAAGACACAGGGAATGTTTGAAACTGTTTATTTTAGATACAGCACTGGCAGGTACGTGGCAGATAAGGAGGTGCAGGTACGCTGAGGAGCTGTTATGTTTCAAGTACAGTGACCATGAGCACAAAGAGGATCCAGGGATATGAAAAATACTGTCTGATAACATGGATAGCAAAACACCAGCAACAGTACAGAACCATGAGTTTCCCACAAGTCTTTTGAAGCCTTTTGAAGCTTTCTTTCTGTGTGATGTAAAACAACTAAAATGTTAGACACCAGGAAAACCACTCAATTAAGCAATTTATTGTCTGTGTCAAGAACATTTTTAGAAAAAAATGATGGAACTAAAGTCATATAGAGTACTTAATTTGAATTGTACCATGAGACCCACGGGACGAAAGGCCATTTGGTTAACAGGACTGGGCCCATTAGACCCGCATGGCAAGGAGTAATTATACTACAGGAACAGAAGCTATGAGTCTTTAAAGACCAGGAGCCTCATGTATCAACACTGTTTACGCAAGAAAAACTTGCGTATACCAGGATCGGCACTCACGTTCAGATGTATCAATGTGAAAAGTCCATTGATTCTTGAGATGTTTCACGCCAACTTTGGAGGTGCCGTAGAAGTTGGCGGAAAGCCGATTCTTGCGTTGACTGCACTTTGGTCCGTTGGTGACACTGTGATGTGGTGTTTGGTGACTGACATTATTTGACAACCACACATACATCGGGCATAAAAGCCATCAACACAAACACCTGTTGGCATTACTTAAGCGGCTTTAAAAGAGCCTTCATGATTGTGCTGAATGTGCAACTTTCAACAATGGCAGCACTTGCTCTGTTGGAGGATGTGGAAAACGGTGCAATAAGACGGGAGCGACATTTCAGGGAGCAGGAGCAGGAGACTTGCTCCACGGTTCTGACAAGTGGCTAATGAGCCGGTTTCGGCTACAACGGGCCATCCTCCTGGAGGGATGTACGATCCCGGCCAGGCAGCCATCCTCACATGCCAGAATTTCATTTCCACAATGTAAATGGGTAAGAAGCGATGACACGATTCATGAAGCCAGATTAATTAATTTATTTTTATTCTGGTCATGGCAGATGAGCTGGCTGACATGCTGGAGCGGGAGCCGGCAAGGGTGCAGCATGTCAGTGGCATGGCTGATGCATCAATTTCTGTTAAACAATGAACATATTGGTTTATTTAAATGGCTGATTCTGTGTATTTGTTGCATTTACATCTGAGGCAAAGCATGTGGAAATGTTGTGTCAGAAATGGAGTTGCCACTTACACTCCAGGCTCTTGGAGTCAGTGTGGCTGGTAGCGACAACCCCCCCCCCCCCCCCCCACAGAGGTGCTGCCCATGATTACTGCCATCCGCTACTCAAATTCCGTCAGGTGCCCCTCTCCCTGGCGCCACCTGTCTGGCCGGCACTCCTCCAGAGGGCAGCTGTACGCCGCTGGACCTCCACCCTGAGGTCAAACCACTTTTTTTTAATCTCCCCGGCGGTGCGTTGCTCTGAACCCACTGCATTCACCCTCTTGCACACTTTATCCCACTCACAATGTTTGTTTTTTGTACTGACACCACTGGACAGGCTGCCAAACAAAATCTGCTGTCTCTCCTCCACCTCCCCGACCAGCACCTCCAGCTGTGAATGTCTTTTTCTTTGACATTGTTTTGCTAGCACGGACAGCGGAGACCCTATTTAAATAAATTTGCGTATTTATAGGTGGACGTCATCGGGGAGGGCCCGGTCACTCCGACATCTGCACTCAATTCCACACTGACTGGGATGTACCAAGGAAACGTGCATGGATTCTAGCGTTTGCACAGATTGAAACACCAAAAAAAATTTCCTGTGTGCGCAACTTTCGGGATTATGGCGACCACTGAATTTTAGTATGAGATCCAGTATTGATGCATGAGACCCCAGGAACCAGATGACAAAAAAGGATCAAGAGCAAAGATTCAAGTGAAACCAGGAACCATTAGACCATCAGTCCATAACCATTTTATTTACAGGATTAGTAGATATTAGACACACACTTGCAGAAGCTGTTAGAGCCAAAGAACAAGGAACCATAGGCTCTCAAAGACCATTAGCAACTGGACCAGTAAATATGAGACCAGTAGCACATGAACCTTTTATCATCAGCACAAGGAACTTGCTCCTTTTAAGTAATATACAAACCTACACTTTAAAGGGAGATTCTGGCATAAAATTAATTTTGGGTCAAACACACTGCAACGCTGGGTTAAACACCCCCTTGAGAGATGAATGTTGCCAACCACTTGCATCTTGAGTTATACCAACTTTAGTTACGGTCTCAGTAGCCATAAACAAACCTGATGGACTCGTCTGAGGTCTCCGTACAAACAAGCGGCTGCTGGAGGAGAGTGGGTAAGTTGTGTTTAGTCTCTTTGCTAAAGAAATCAGGCAGAGCTAAAAAGTTTTTGTTGGCTAGTGCTATGGCTGGGACCCTGTATGTTTCGTAATCCTTGTTCTTTTAATATAGTGCATCTTTTTCCACCAAATCTAATCTAAATTAATGTGGTTTACGTTATGATGGCTCTGTTAGGAATGGCCAAGAAATATGTTGGATAGATACATTTCAATATGCTATCCATCTTAGTAAGAAAGACTCACCAAAGTAAACTAATGTCCTTTTCCAAAATGGCCTTTTTATTTCATAATGTCATTTTTCAGCCCAATGACTTGGTCTGTCAATCAAAGCACATAAAGCTGAGCCAGTTAAGTGATTGGTTCATCCTTTACACCAGGGGTCCGCAACCTTAGGCACGCATGCCAACATTGGCACGCCAGGTGGTATCAGCTGGCACGCTGCCAGTTTGCGGGAGAACTTTTTTTTTTTTTCAATGAGCCAAAAAATGTTTCTGTAATAAATTAATTGCAAGCTTGTTGTTCCCTTGAATGTATATTTACATCCTCTACACCTCGGAGCCACCATTCCACAGACACTTGTTTACATTCATCATAAATGTCATAAACGCGGGACGGTGTGTGTGTTTGTGTGTGTGACGTGCGTTGTGAGAGTTGCTGCACACATGCTGTTGTGGCTCTGCGTCGTGCAAAGAGAAGAGGGGGGAAAATGTCTCAAAAGCCCAGATTAGATGCTCGGCCGTTCCAGCCTGCATGGACAGATACATATGGATTTGTTTCCAATGATAAAGATAAGGACCGTCCCGTCTGAGTTTTTTGTCTTGAAAATATAGTTAGTCACACTTCCAGTGTTAAACGTCACTTTGAGACAAGGCATGCAGTGGACTACAAAGATGCAGCAGAAAAGACAGAGGCGATAAGGAAGGCGGTGTTGGGGTATGGAAAGCAAAAGGACAATCTGCACGACTTGATCACTGCTAAAGACCATGGCACTGAAGCAAGCTATGAAATCTCTTGTTGCATTGCGGGATTGTGGCAAAGTGGAATTGTGGAAAGCCATTCACTGACGGCAAATATATTAAAAGGGCTTTCCTGTCAAGTGCAGATGCATTGTTTGGTGACTTACCAAATATAGACAAGATTAAGTCAAGAATGAAAGACATCGCCATCTCAGCTGATACTGTCCAGCGAAGCATAGAAGACATGGCAAAAAATGTTATGTCACAGCAAACTGCTGGCTTGAAAAATGCCCCTGTATTTAGCGTTGCACTTGACGAGAGTGTGGAAGTGAATGACATGTCACGTTTAGCGGTAATGGCAAAATACTGCGATTCGACTATAAGAGAAGAACTTTGCTGCTTAGAGCCGATGCCTGGCACAACAAAGGGGGAAGATGTAGCCAAGGTGTTTATTGAGCATTTTGAGGGGTGAGGTGTTGATATCAAGAAAATATTTGCAGTGATAATGGAGCGAGAATATGAGATAATAGTGCAAATGGTGATACAAGCATGACATTTGGTACAGAGATCCTTTATACCACTACTAATCATAATATAACCTCTGGCCACCTGGGCGGCG